TAATTATTATGAAATATACAAATTAAATGGAATGTAAACTATTACATTTCAATAGTTTCAGGTGTCAGTTTTATTTATAACATGTATGTATGTGTTCTTGCCTACCTACATCATAATAATCATTTATAATATAGTTACTATCAGAATACCATGTAATTATTACTTTACCAGGGCCAAAGGAATTTATCTTATATATATTTAACTTTAACCAGGTATACTTATCATTCACTTATACACAGCATGGTTTTTGTTCACAGTAAATGTTACCATTGATCATATAAAGGCAAAAGATAAAAAGCCATGTGTCTTATGACAACAAAGAGAAAAGATGATGGAAAGTGATACAATACAACCCTCCTAGGAATTTTGTAGGTAAAAAAGTATCAGTAAATTCATGCACATAATGAATCAATTTGTTAACAAATAAAACATTATTTCATAAGAAAATTCTGACCTTAGTAGAATATAGGACATAAATGAGATACTCAAACAAGCAGTCTGGTCATAAAAGTATTTTAAAATTCATCTTAGATAATGAAATATCAAAGACATTTTGGGAAAATTACTTCAAATATAAACAAACTAATACTGTAAAAATTAGAGGCAATATCAAGGCAAAAATATGAAAAAGAGAAATAAAAACTCTCCAAAGTAATTTTTTTCCCCCTTCAAAACTTAACATGAATGTTAAGCTATGCCATTACTCACTCCTCAAGAACACTATGCTCAATATTGTTTATCAGTGGTACATTAGTCTGGAAATAAGATTATTAATAAAATTCTCAGGCTACATAATAGAAAATTAGGGGTTATATAAAATCATTATTTATTATATTTGCTAACATATTCTTGATATGTAGGCAGTGAACAAAAATATATTCAAGATGGATACATTTCTATGCTATAAGAAAACATTAAATCATATTGTTAAATGAAATTAAAATTCCTTATTGTGCAAACATTGGAATTCAAGTGAAAATTCTACTACCTATTAAATATTAATGTATACTATTATCAGGGATATATTACTATATGAGTTGGATGACTGATTTATCTCCATAGCTTATAGAAGTCTGAATGCTTTTTCAAATAGAAAAATATAGAGAGAGAGAGAAAAAAAGAAGACAAATTAAAAACTTCAAAATGTATTGATATATGCTAGTATGAATTTTTAGATTTTTAAGATCTGAAAGATTTTAATCTCTGAGGTTTCAGTGTATGTGTTTTAATAAAATATATTGAAAGATTAAGATGGTAGAAACAAATAGAAAAGTAGCAGAACATACTAAAGGAATTATATAAGGCAAAAATTATCTATTCACTTTTATTTTAAAGTAAAACCAATTGTATTTGTGTATTTTCAGCTTTATTAATTGGTGTCATACCTTTTCTTACTTTCATTTTGTAGCTACAGGCAGAAACAACACCATACTAAAGAAAAAAAAATGAAAAATTACACAACAGTAGCAGAGTTTATTCTACTGGGATTGACAAATGACCCACAGTGGCAGGTTGTACTTTGCACATTTCTTCTTGTCACCTACATGCTCAGTGTGACTGGGAATCTCATCATTATCACCCTTACGCTTTCAGATCCCCATCTGCAGACTCCCATGTATTTCTTCCTTCGGAACTTCTCCTTCCTTGAAATATCATTCACATCTGTATGTATCCCTAGATTCCTTGTCACCATTATAACAGGGGACAGGACAATCTCTTACAATGGTTGTGTAGCTCAGCTATTTTTTTTTATCTTCTTGGGAGTGACAGAGTTTTACCTTCTGGCTGCCATGTCCTATGATCGCTACGTGGCTATCTGCAAACCTTTGCATTACATGACCATCATGAGTCACAGAGTCTGTATTCTTCTTGTCTTTAGCTCTTGGCTTGCAGGATTCCTGATCATCTTTCCACCAATAATCTTGCTGCTACAGTTAGATTTCTGTGCCTCCAATATAATTGATCATTTTATCTGTGACTCTTCTCCAATTCTGCAACTTTCTTGCACAAGCACTCACTTTCTAGAACTCATGGCATTTTTTTTAGCTGTTTTAACACTCATGGTCACCTTGACACTTGTAATTCTCTCTTATATATACATCATCCGGACAATTCTGAGGATTCCTTCCACAAGTCAAAGAAAAAAAGCCTTTTCCACTTGTTCTTCCCACATGATCGTTGTCTCCTTGTCTTACGGTAGCTGCATCTTCATGTACATTAAGCCTTCTGCAAGGGAAAGGGTGACATTAAGCAAAGGAATAGCTGTGCTCAATACCTCAGTGGCTCCTTTACTGAATCCCTTCATATATACACTAAGGAATCAACAAGTGAAACAAGCCTTCAAGAGCATGATCCGGAGGATAATCTTCCCTTCAAATAAATGAATATGATTTTATTTAAATGGATTTTTTGGGAAAAAAAATACTGGATGAAAAATTCTCTGCCTTTCTTTACAAAAATTCTAAATACCTCATTTTGCTCCATCAATTAGACATAGTTATGCATCATGAATGCATCTTTTAGAAATTAGCCTTAAAATAATCATTCTATTAAAAATGCAAGCTCTCTCACCAGTGTCACTAAATTTTAGAAAAATTAATAATTGCCATTGTTTTTCATATAATGGCTCTGTCAATTATGACTTCAACCCCCAAACAGGTTGCTATAAGTTTTAAAAGTCTGCTTTTTAAAAAAGACAATTATACAATTTATTTTATTTGAAACATAAGATAAAATAAAGTATCTTAGTATTTCTAAAGTTCCCTTTTCAATATCACCAGGAGTAACATGCAATAAATTTAAAACCCATATTAAAATTTCTACTGGAATATATCTACAAAACGTAGTTAGAATGTATGACAACATTAAATAAATTTTCAAGATAAATTTTGGGGGGACATAGTATCTGTTATTTGAAATGATGCTGTATTGATGTTGTAATAGTTTTCTTAGGGAAGCAAGGATGTTGTTGTTGTCAAGTGCTGTTGAGTTGGTTCTGACCCATGTCAACCTTGTATAGTGTTACCGAGGAGGGACTGGTGAGCTTGAACCATGGACCTTGTGGTTCAAACCAACTTTGAAGTTCAGACACTTAACTTAAATTTCCCCTTTAGTAATATTTCCTTCAAAATAAATCATCTGAAGATTACCTATTTCTGGCCATTGTAAATGAAAAGTAAAATCATAGTCTGTAAAGGCAAATGACATTCGCCTGATAAAACTTGTGTTTGTCTCAAATTCTTTCAAGTGATACCAGAATGGTTTCCCTATTTGTT